ATTCAGCGCAACCGGCGCCCTAGACCGCCCGCTGACAGAAACACCAGGCTCGCCGCCCAGCAGCTCGGCGGCCCCGCCAAGGGCGTCTACTTCCTGCCCCACGGCGAGTACGGCGCGCAGGCGCAGAGGAACCTCGGCGCCTCCACCGTCAACGGCGGCTACCCCGTTGACCACCTCCACCCCGGACCTTTCATCGCCGACGCCATGGCCAAGTCTTTCGTGCTGGCGCTGCGCTGCGGCAGCACCGCGCTCGGCGGCCTCGTCCGCAACTCGACCTCGTCGCTGACCTCGACCTACCTTGGTCCTTGCATTGGCGCCGCCAACTCGACCATCTCTGCTCTCCTGCGCTAAGTCGTTGTGAAGCGGCAGTGGGTTGTGGGCAGAGGGCGCTGTCTCGCAGGAATTTGTATATAGGAGTGATGTAAATAGGAAGCAGTTTGTAGTACATATGCAGAGGGACATATGATGAGGAACAAAACCTAAGCTGTTCATTAGCGGGGCAGAATATGAATGATTGAATGTCATGGTCGCCACTGTTCCCGCATGTTAATACTGTGTCACCTCCGGCCATTCAGATTATGTTTGACAACGCCTCCCGCGGTATTCGCCAGCCATGTTGGCGTTAACACCGCCCCGGAAGGATTGCTCGGGGTTCGGGGCTGAAGTGGCCGCCGTGCCTGACAAGCCGTTCTGGCTCGGAGACAAACAACTCAAAGATCCTTGGCCAAAGATCCCAGACTCTCCTCGTAGGCTGGTAAAGCCCATTTTGTCATCCAGGGCATGCGGAGGACCCCCTCCACGCTCGGTCGTTCGCCAGGTCTCCACGCCAGCATGCGCTTCAACATCTCGAACTCGAACCGTGCGACTTGCTCCTCATCAGTGACGACCTCCATGCTGCAAGACTCTCTGGGCTCCTGAATCCACTGTTCAAAGCGCCTGTCCCAAGGCCAGATGTCACAGTCGTTGCTGAGTGGTCTCCCCGTCTGATCGAACCACTTGGCACGTTGATCCCACCGATCCCGCCATTCAGACGGAAGAAGGCCCTGAAGATGGACCTGCTGCGCAGTGATCTCGTCCTGGGGCGTCAGTATGCCGTCTACAAGGGGCATGTGGGCCAAGAGCTCAAAAAATGACACAGCCAAGGCTCCATACGTCTGAAGGAAACCCAAGAGGTGTTGTTGTCTCGAAAAATGCCTCGGAAGGGCGGATCACGAGGGGTGTGTGGGATTGGAAGCGAGACCTATCGGCCGGACGAAAGGCGACGCCAAATTCGCTGAGGAGCAGCTTTGCTTCACCCAACGCGATTTCATCGCTCGCTATCCCCAGCCACACAGGCGGTACAGCGTGTGGTGGGACTCCGGCTGCTGGATAGGCTTGCTTGCTCCTTTTCGAGGGGCACGACAGGCTCGAGCTCCGGGGCCCCAAACTGAGCACACAGCTGCTCGACTGAGAGCGTGTCTAATAAGACGGCAGCTGGAGAAGAATATTGCCGAGATGAAGATCTATAGAATGAAGGGATGAGACTCTCGGCGGCGACGTTATGCAAAAGGGCACATATCTCCGTGGACATATCCCAGGGAATGACCAGCAGAAATAGCCAGAGTAAGCTGAGCTGCCAGCGACCGGGCCACGTCGAGCCGGGATAATTTCGAGTCGGATGCTTCTCTCACGTCTGCCGGGCTGCATCTGGCCCTAACGGTGACCAAACAGTGATGAGTGCCGTTAGGTCCATGTAGGCTGAAGCGATCAATAACCATAGGGATCAAAGGTGCTCCGGTTGCGGCATATCCGGAGACGGTAGCCGTGAGCCTTATCATCGGTTGGGACAGGATCTCTTCCTCTTACCCGCCGGCATCTGCAGTACCGAGTTTTACGGCGGTGTAACTGGAGCTTCGTTCATCAACAGCAAGCCAGACTGTTGCAAAGGTGCCGTGGCCGAGTTTGTGTATGATGCGGTATCGCTCGTGAAGACGGTCGTCAATCTGAACGGCATGATAATCTCCCGGACGGTACTGACTCAGATCCTCCACGCCGTCGGTATATCTGTATTCTACGTTGAATGTAGACGTTGTTGAGAAGAAGGCTTGCGATGAGATGCGAGGGTCGCGAGCCGCCCTCATGAAGCAAGAAACACCCAGTCGCCACCCAGATAAGTGCCACGTTTGGCCTTGCTGGGGCCACCGGCCACTCACCCGTCTCGGTCGCGCCAATCGCGAACAGGGAAGGTGCTGCCAGAACAATCTCATGGAGTTGATGTGCTTTGATGACGGTCGTGAAGGTGCAAGAAGAGGATGTAGTTTGAAAGAATGAAGCTTACCTGTACTGCGGCTTTGATGAAAGGGTGTGTGGGTGTTGGAAGTGTGGTGGTGGTGGTGGTGGAGACACATGCCTGAGAAGCGAGGACAAGGCCGCGAGCCTGTATCAGGACCATCCGCTGTGAACAGTTCACTAGCTAGACCAGTGCATCAAGAGCCTTCAATACAGGCAGAAAACACCATTCACCTTGTCTCCAATTATGCGCTCGGCTTTTCCCACGATGCTGAACTGCACGACAAGCCCTCTAAGCGTCGGAGGGCTACATTTGAAATATATTCCGACCCCTGACCTAGATTCTAGTACCTGCGGACCTAGTGGAAGACCTCTTGACTCTGCTCTAGACCACGCATTGACAAGACATCACAGGCACGACACGGCATGCAGAACCATCGTCATAACACTAAAATCGTTCGTTCCATTATCGCTTCCTAATACATAAATGGGCTTGACACCCCAATGTACGGGCTACATGTCTGCCACAATCAGACAAACATGGTACCATGCCGACAACAGCTAAATCTAAAAATGCCCAACACCAAACGCCTTGATATCGTTTATACCACGCCTTCTGCCAATCAGAAGAGGCGCATGTCATACTCCGATGGCCGGGGAGAAAATAAAACTCGACATGCGGTCTGATATGACGGCCGCCGCCACATGCCATGCGCTATCGTCAACGGCCCATTCGTGTGCGTACCGAGCCGGACGTCTCGTGAACGTTCGTGAGAAGCCCTTGAGCGGCCTCTGTCGGGCGACACGCCAAATCTCTAGTCAATTGTCTTGCCGCCGCAGTCCGGGATCTTGATGCCCTTCTTGAGGTTTCGGTTGACGTCGAAAAGACCCCACTTGCTCTCCCACTCCTTGCCGGGCGTGTCGAACCTGGCCTTCCACGGCTCGTCAAAGGCCGAGAACCAGAAGTACGTCGTGTTGGCAATCGACGGACAGACCCAGTCGTCGAGCAGGTCGTTGATGCCTTCAATCGACGCCTTGGCGCCGTTGGTGCACGTCGTCGTCTGGTCGCCGCACCCGACGCCACCCTCGGATGGCCAGCCAATCTCGGACACAATGTTGAGCTTCTTGTTCGTCTTGAACACGGGGCCCACGCTCTGGGTCCAGAAGTTCCAGGACCAGCTTGCCGCGTCAGTCGGTTGCACACCGCCGAAGAGCGGGTGGATGTTGGCGAGCACGCCATCCGAGACGCTGGCGAGCTGCGCATCCCAGTCGCGGCCGAGATCGGACGTCACGACGGGGAGCGAGAAGCCCTTGGTCGTCATGTTCTCGCGGACCTCGGTGAGCACATTGCCGAGCTCGGTCAGCGACATGTCCTCCCTGAAGAGAACCTCGTTGCCGACAATGACGCCCTCGAAAGGCTTGTCGCCGTAGGTGTCCATGATGTTCCAAAACTCGGCGAGCTGGCGCGCGTTGGTAGAGGCGTTCTTGTCGAGCCAGACGCCGAGCCAGAGGCGCATGGTGTTGTCGATCTCGAGCTGCTTGAACGAGTCCAGAACAAGTTCTGTCTGGTTGCAGTCATTGCCTGTAGCATGTCAGCCAGGAGTCCACGATGGATCGAACGCAGGTGAGGAGAGAGAGTGGGAGAGAGGGAGGGAGGAGAATGGCTGCTTACCATAGAGTCGGATCGTGTTCGTGAGCTGCGAGAGAACGGCCATGTCGCGCGTGACATTGTTGGCCGACGGAGGGTCGTGGAGGCACTCTGGGTACTGGACGCCGAGGGGTGTGTAGTCGAAGCCGCTGAAGACCTTGTGCAGGTTTGTCGAGTCTTGCAGGTCTTTGATCTCTTTCGAGTTCTTGTTCAGGAGGCCGTTTTCCTTCTTGTCGTCGTCAGCACTCTGGCCGCTGCCGGAGCTGCCACCGCTGCTTGACCCGCCGCCGCCCTGCCGTGGGAGAATGGCGCCAAGCGTGCCGCCGAGAATGGCACCAATAATGACGACAATGGCGACGATGATGATGACCCATTTCCACTTCTTCTTGCCTTGGCCCTGCTCCTTCATCCAGTCGGACGACTTTTCGCCATCATACGCAGCACCGCCTCTGCCGCCGCCGTTGCCAAGAACAGGGCCGTAGCCTGAGCCAGAGGCAGAGCCGGCGCTTCGGGCAGCGAGACCGCCGCCGACGGCACCAGCCACGCCTCCTGCAGCGGCGGCGCCACCAGCCACGCTGCTGCCGCGGTCGCTGTGCGACAGACTCAACATGGAGTTGCGCTGAGGCGGGGGGTATCCGAGGCCGCCGTCGCCGTCGTCGGCAATGTCGTGGGGGTTCACGACGCCGAGGTTGTGGTGAGACGTCGAGTAGCCCTGATAGGGGTCGTCGCTGTACGGATCGTGGGCGCCGTAGCCGAGTGGGCTGCGGGAGGGGGTGCCCTGGCCGGGGGCGACGGCGGCCGCGCCGAGAGGCGTCAGAGAGGAGTGGCTGTCGCGGTCGAGGGGCGCGGGACGCTGCTGCTGGTAGTAGCCGCCAGCAGGGGGGCCAGGTTGCGCGAGCGAAGGCTGTGGTGCCGAGGGGTAGCCGGTGTTCATGGCGTCGACGCCCGACTGACGGGCGTTCTGGTCAGCGACGTTGTAGGCGATGCCAGCCATGCCGCCGGCAGCAGTATTGCCAAAGTTGTCGGCGCCCGGTGTGACACCCCAGTTGCCGTGGGTGCCGTGGGCAGGCGGGTAGGGTGCGTGACGGTCGTAGGCGTTGGGTTCGTGGTGGTGCTGTTGCTGGTGGTGGTGCTGGTCGGGTGCGTACCTGTCCTGGCCTTGGCCGTGGCTCTGTGTCTGTGTCTGTGCGTGGTCGCGGTTGTACTGGCGCTCGGCACGGAGCTGCTCAAAGTTGGACTCGGGATGGGGCTGCTCGTAGTGATAGCCCTGAGGCGCATAGTGTTGTTGCTGCTGCGACTGGTGATATGGGTCCGAGTAAGGGTCGTTCATGTTGCGGGCCGGCGAGCGGGAGGGGGAGCGATGGTAGTTGTTGTCGAGGGGCTCCCTCTCGCCGTAGGATGGATCGTCGTAATTTTGGTAGCGACTCATTGTTTCAGTTTCCGCCCAGGGCTGGGTGCAATGTTGCAGAGGAAGCGACGGAGGGATGTCCACAGCCGTGGACAGACCGGCGGGAAAGAGAGAGAGAGAGAGAGACAGAGACGGAGACGGGAGCCTCGACGGCGAGCGAGTGAGTGGTGGTGTCGTTTGCGCGGGCTAGAAGAAGCAAGTCTGCGTCGCCAGTGGAGAGAATTCGCGGTCGAGGACGTGAAGAAGAAGTCGCAACAGTCGGGCGGCGTGGGTGGTGAGAGCCTCCAAAAACACTAGTCTGCACGAACGACCAGTCGAACGAGGGACGAGGGCGGTGGACGAGAGACAAAGAGGTTGGAGGTCTCGGAGAGTTAGGCGGATCGTGCCACGTTCGAGACTATTTTGGGGGAGGGCAGGCGGGGAGAAAAGGGTAGAGGGTGACGGGGCGCGGGCTGTGTTCGTATTCCCGTTGCGGCTGGGCAGGTGCCGGCGGTGGTTGTCGTTGGTGTGCTGTGGTGTGCGTAGTGGTGTGGTGTATTGCGATTCGTATTCGACCCCTCCCTCTCTTGGGGGGATTGGACCAGGCTGGATCAGGTCTCACGAGCGAGCAGGCTCGAGAGTTGCGAGTGTGGGAATTGATGGGCGCGCGAGGTGCCAAGACGAGGATGTTCTTCAGTTCGTCAAGGGCTATTCGAAACAAAAACAATCGTGATGTGGAAAGGGTGAGAGAGAGAATGGGTATGGGAGAGAGGAGCGAGAGCCAAGGACGGCAGAGGCAAAGGCAGCAAGCAGCAGTAGCAGAACAGGATTGCGGTCCTTGCGACCGCCGGCGAGTGAGTGAGTGAGTGGTCCTGTCTCCTGTTTCCAGGGCTCCCATCCTGGAAGGTGTAGTGTGGGTGGACAACGCTAATCTGGCCCCAGTCTTTGGGCTGGGGGGAGATGGGCGATGGAAGATGATGATGAGATGGGATGCCCGCCGTCGAGCATGTCGGGGGTGCTGCAGCACCAGGCTAAGCCGGAACAAGGCTGTGATGACCAGGGGCCGGCTGCAGAAGGCAGCTCAGGGTTAGGGTTAGGGCTGGTAAACAGAGTGACAGGGGATGATCGAGGAAGCAGCCTTGAGTGGAGCCGTGGCAGGGGCTCCTGGGGCGAGACATGCGCGGCGTCGGCGGGGCCGCTAACGAGGGGGCGCCCTGGGCAGTGGATAGTGGGCAGTGGACCAAGGGCCCCGGGCTAAGGACCAGTCGCAGTGCTCGCCCCCAGTTGGCGGAACAACGCCCTGCGCCTCGCCGCTGCTTCTACGAGTCGTCCTCACGAAACCCCCTCGTCTGGCCTTTGCCCCGTCTCCTGTTACATCTTGATGAGGGTGTCTGCCATGACTACTATGTATCTGTACTCTGTCGCGACGTGGTGGCATGTCTTCGCAAACTGAGTGATCTTCCGTCATGGCAATTGGAAAATTCCCAGACTTCATTCACTACATCCATCCACTTCGAGCAAAACTCCTCCCTCATCTTCACCTCGTATTTTTTTTCTGTCTCGTCGAGCCCACCGAGTTGGCTTCTTCGTCCCCTGAGGCCATGATCAAAATAGCATGGCACCAGGCACCAGCGTTCACAGCAAGCACGAGCCCCCACCACCTCGCCGACGGCTGGTCGGTGGACGCGCTTCGGCCCTGCTGCCCACCGCACGTGAACGAACAGGGGGACCACTGTATCTGCAGCAGAGGTCCGTGTTCGCCCATCCATGCGAGCATCACCAGCCCACCCGCCCGCTAACGAATAGTCCCCTCCTCTCCACCGTGGACCTGTATTCTCCTTCATCTCAGCCTGCCAGTGACATCATGTCCATATCATTTGCGCACACGTTGCCCGCCGGCATGCGCTCATCTCCTGCGACATGCCCCCCCACGATGCGAGATGCGATCCAGCACATGGCTCTCGAAACGCCAAGTGGTAACAAGGGCGTTGCTTGTGTTGCCAAGCCAACTCGATCTGTGTGACCTGGATCCTCTTTT